AGAGAGTATAACACCGGTACCTCTCTTTGCTGGACTTGTAATGGACTTTTTCATGGTTCAGAGAATAGTGATAAAAATGGATAGTGCGTTCATATGATCAAAGATAGAAAATGAAAAATTACACAAAAACATATACACACAATAATGATAATTTCTTCTTTTCATTTGAGAGATTTGGGAGAAAATAAAAGTTTGAACCTTACAGGAATCTAACAGATTCTTTATCAGGATATTCGTGGTGTTTTTACTTCGGACACAGCCAGATTCGATCAAAGCAAATCCACCCTGCATTACTGAAAAAAAAAAAAATCATAAAGCTAATAGAGGCTATTTTTCATTTACCATATTCAACAAATCAAATCTAAATTTTAGGAAAATTTTAATGCTTTATTGTCTTAAAAAATAGAAAAATCATATAATTTATCAACGTATTTGCAAATGAAAAACGAACGTCAGTAAATCTTAATTTTGTCGTTATTTTAATTCTCTCTCTCTCTCTCTCTCTCTCTCTCTCTCTCTCTCTCTCAGAAAATAATCTTTTCTCTTCTTTTCATTAGTCTTAATTTTTATATATATATATTTCTACCACCTAAATATTTTGCACATAAAGTACAGGAAAAATGGAGATAGAAGGAGTAGTGTAATTAGTAACTTACAGTATATAATGATCCCCATTAGGACCAGAAACATATTATCCATGTTCTCTGCCGCGCTCGTCTTCCATTTTCCCAAATCCTTTGTTGCTTCTGCTAAATTTTCCATTGCTTCTGTTAAGTTTCTTAAATCAGTAGACATTCTGTTCTTTTTTTCTTTCTTTCCTGCAAATTGGATTTTTTTTCTTGGGATAGTGCGACGAATTATTGAATCGCCCTTCGGTTTATATGGTAGATATCTTCACGGTCTAGTGATCCTATCCATACCCATGACATTTAGTGACCTGTCATTTCAATAAATATAAATTTTTTGGCAACAACGAAAGTAAAATGCTGTAGATAATAAAAACAGTAATTTAGTGAAGTATATTAGGTCGGTTGGATGAATTTTGGTAAATATCATATAACAGGCAGTTCAGAACCTGAAACTTAACTGATAGGCTATATACGTTGTGACACATAAATATTAAATTATAACAATAGTAATTAGCGGAATTAATGAATAGAGGTAAATCAATTCAGATGACACCGTTTGAGTTGGATAACAGTTACGTAATAATCTTATTAAAATTTGATGTAATTACAAGTAGAACAAATTTAATTTCTTTTAAATGAGTAATTCTCATAAAAGATTTTAAAAAGTGTTACTCAAAATGTCTTCTCAATTTCTTACACTATGACACGTTTATAAAAAATAATGATCCCCCCTTTTCAGGAAAGTTTTAGAGTGTTTGAAAATCCTTTTTGCTTAAATGGATTCAGAATGAAGTATTCTCTATACAGTCAAGAAAAAAAAATTAAATATTGAGATAATTATAATCTGTGAATATTTAGTTTATTTACTTCATTGTCAAAATAAGGTAATGCACATTTACCCCCAGGGAAAATATTCAAAGACAATTAACGAGGAACAGAAGAACAGAAATCAATGTTGCAAATTACTAAAATGGGAAAATACATGCAAATAAAGTGTTCAATTAATCTGTTTTCTCTTTTAAATTCTTAAGAATGCTTGAAATGATGAGTGATACATAAATTATATAAAGGAGCAGATCACTCTAACTGAATATATGTGATGAAAATGCACACAGTGCAATATCTTATGAAAAGAAATCTACAAATAATTATGCTAATGACATGTTATTTTATTAACCCTATTTAGTTTAATTTATCAATATATATTTACAGAACAACGTTTTTTTTCTTTCTTCTTCTTCTTCTTCTTTTTTTTTTTTTTTTTTTTTTTTTGTTGTGTGAAATTTCGGGCCTTGACGAATTTGAATTCAGTTAATAATAAAGCATTTTTGCGTCTGCAATGAAATATTATCTCCAAGGAATTCTTCGATTCATAGTGTTAGAAAAAACTTACGTCACTAAGCTGGATGAATAATGACAAGTAGAGCATAAAGAGTGTTCCAATGTAGGGTAGGGCAGCGAGTCTTTGCCTCCATGAAATGAAAGAGAAAAAAAAAGGAATCATTATATTATATCAGATTATTCTAAATTACCATTCTGTTGCTATCATCTACATGTGAACAGTCCTGAACTTTTTATACTCGTATATATATATATAGAGAGAGAGAGAGAGAGAGCGGGTTGTACAAAAGAGAAGATAACTTTATTCCTCAGATATTATATTTCATATCTCTGAGTTGTCTCTCATTACTATATATTAAACCTATAAAGCACCCCTCCCCTTCTGAAAACTATACTGTTTATCAGAAATGCAGATGCAGACTAAACTCACTAATTTTTTTTTACAATGTATAACTTTTAGTGTATTGTTTTTTTTTTTACCGAGAAAAATTCACATTAACGCCTTCTGTGGTCTCTTTTCAAGTTTGCAACATTCATTCATTATCAAAAACTGATATTACTGCATGGACCTCAAATACGGTTTCTTCTTAGCCGTCCTTAAGTTCTTTTAGCACTTACCTGACAAATAATGTAATTCTAAGAATATGGTTTTGTTACTATAACTAATTTCATTTCGTAACAAACCTAATTCTTGGGGGGGGGGGGTGGGGGTCAAACCTTGAAATTCAAGGATAGACGTTACACCAAGATTTGAACAAACTTAAAGGGTGGCAGCATACTTTCATGTGCATAATGTATCTTCTGAATGAGAGATCATAGATGTAAAGGATACAGTGCATGTCATTAGGACTTAACTAGTCATTATAAATCGCGCAAACCTATATTAATAATTAGGATAAGAAATGCAATAAAGTTATACAGAGTTATTCGAAAATACAAATACATGTACAGGAAATTAGTTACTTTTTCTTGAGGTACTGAGAACCTGATAACATAAGGGATTTAAAAAAAAATACGGATTTTATAACAGTGGTGTTCATATTATTAATCACATGTTTAAACTGGAGATTCTTATCACATATAATAATTAATCAAAAGATATAAAGTAACATAATTCGGATTGTCTGCATTTCTAAATAATAATAAATATCGAACACATTAGAAGGCAATCATTTTCACACTGAATTGTCTACGATTTTTTCCCCTTTTTTCCGATCATGACAAGAGCACACGGAGCGTGTGACTGGTCGACAGAGGATGCTTACTTCTCCATATGGCACCTGATCCCTCTCTGTTTTAGAGGTCCAGGTTGGCTCTGCTCACAATTTGTATTGATTAATTGGGCTCTTGAACATGTTCACTCTTCGTTATCTTAATATTCATATTTCAATTAAAAAAAAATAGAGGTAACACGTACTGCATAGTTCTGTCTTTGTTTTGAGAGAAAAAATGGGTCATTTTCCTCTGGGTTATAAACAAAAAATTAACGAAAATTGAAAATTGATGTAACAGTGTTTTACATCGAATATAAGCCGCTGCGGATAGGGGAAGGGTCCATGTACATAGACATGCACGGATCTAAATTGGTCGTGGGGGGTGTCTCCCCCCCCCCCCCCGGATTTGCAGAGTTAGAAAAAAGTATATACTGAAGCAAATAAAAAGTGACTTTGCCCCCCCCCCCCCGAAAACGTGGACACCACCACCACCACGAAAAAGGCCCTTTAACGTTTTGGATATGGATGTTAGGTTTCTTTTTTATTTTTATTTTTTGGCTTGTCAAGAAATTTTCTGGGTTTGAAAAGTTCGGGAAAGGAGTTTAGGTGTTTTTTTTAATTAATTTTTTTTTTTAATTTATTTATTTATTTATTTTTTTTTTGCTTGTCAAAAAATTTCTGGGTTGGAAATTTTTAGACTGGGTGGACCCCCCTTTTGGGTGGATCCGCGCCTGATAGTGCCAGTCGCGGATCCAGGAATTGAAGTTGGGGGGGGGGCGCAGAAGTAGGCAAGGGGTCTGGGGACAGCCTTGAGGCCCCCAGTGGGTCCAGGGCAAAGCCCTGGTGGGGGCCCAGGGGGCGAAGCCCCCGGAAGCTCCTGGATTCTAGAGATTTTGTAGGGTAAAAATGAGGTCTACCGAGAAGACATTTTTTCATTTTCTTGACGAAACTATGAATTACGCTAACTTTGACAGTTTTAGGGGGGGGGGGGGCGCCGGGTGCGCCCCCCCCCTTAAATCCGCCACTGAGTGCTCAGAAATTAATCTAAAAAGGGAACGTGTCAATAGAACGTTTTGTATCTAACACCCTAAAAATATGTACAATCTTCCTGGTTCCATGCATTTGATCTTTTGTATTAATATTCCACAAACTGTGAGGTATTCAGGGGATGGAATTAATCAAGGGGGGTGTGCTATATAGAAGCTTCTACAGATTGTTAAACGCGACATACATGTATTTTAGGCTGAGTAATATAATAAATTGTAACTCAATCAATCGTAGTTCTTAATAGAAAAAATCGTAGTTCTTAATAGAAAAAAATCAGAGAATTAATCAATGACAAAAAACTATAATAATGTTTAATTATAAGCTTGGACCCCCCCCCCCCCTTCCCCAGTTTATGAAAAGGCAAACAGATGTGAAAAGCACTAACTTAACCCTCAGAGATCTTCTTTGTCTTTTGTACAGGTGTATGGGACAAACATGAATAAATGTCAATTACCAAATATAAGAACAATTTTTTTGTTTGTTTGTGGATAATGTAAACAAAACTTTTGGCGCACTTGCTTGGAGACGAGCTTGCTCATTGGTCATATTTTATGACTTTCATATACACATAGTTCCATGACGTCATAATATAGAGAACCGAACGGGAAATGATTACAAAGACCGTCCTCATTTTAACTTTTCTTTTTTTATTGGGAGAAACGTTTTAATTAAAAATAATGATATTAAACTTGACACAATCAGGCTTTTCTTTTTCTATGATCATTTTGTTATGAGTTTTTAACTTGAAAGAAAACAAGAACGTGTTGTGGCCATATTTTATCGGAAGTGAGAAATTCTCCATATGGTTCTTCTACATGAACTCGACTTGATCCCCCGTATGCTACACAGAGAATGATATTTACTTGAAGAATGGCTCAGACAGAGCCTTGATTTCGGGGGAAAAACGAATTTTTATTGTGAACGACAGTGGTAACACGGGGCATTATAACGATAAAAGGAGATGAACAAAGGAGTCGCTACAACCAAGAATTTAACGAAAACACATGTTCACGGAAATGGCTTGCGATAAACATTGATAGGGACATTGTTCATGCGACAGACGTTTTCTTATCAACAATACGAAAGGAGGGAGAGATTTTAAGAAAACTTGAAGGTAAAGTAACTTAATTTATTAAGATATTTATAGCTGAGAAGGGGAGTTGAAGATCGTGACCATGTTAGGAAATAGGTCAGTCTGTTTATGGTCAAGGTTACATGATCGCCATGCTTGTAAATAAGTCCTAATCATATCAGTTGAGAGCTTGGTCATGTGCAGCTTAGTTTAGAGGATTAAATTAAACATCCAGGAGTGATGTAAAGATATATTATTCGTAATAATTGTGTTATATTTTTGGAAGAGAAGTGATTCGCTGTGAGAAGCACATCTCCATTTTAGGTATTGATGTTTATGTGCATGAGCTGTATACATGTAATTTCTGTTATGTATTGCTAATACATCTGTGACACGATGTTTGTAACTTTTGACCAGTTAATTTGGAAGACTTTAATCCCGAATAACTTCTTGATAATGTTTTAAGAGTAATAAATTATTCGATAACTTTTATGTAATCTCAGTTGAGATTAGGCTTGGCTGTATATTTGGACTGTCACCATCACCAATGGCTGTGTCAGTCCAAATATTCAGATATCCAAATAGATTAACTTTTCTGTAAAGCATGTATTTGATGTATAATTTTCAGAAGGTAGTCCCTGATGCAAGAAGGAAGCTACAGCTCAACAATAAATGCATTTAGCAAGAAGATTAAGTTGGAAGTGTTTCCCGATCTCCATAATGTAGCTTCAAGTAACCTGTACAGTTCACAGAGTCCATTATTACACTCAGCATCAGAGTATACACAGGGTAACAGCAACCAGACATTGTTTTATCCACCCAATAGGAATGCTTATAGAGACGTGGAAAATATATCTCAAAATTACATTCGTGCTTCAACGTTAAAACTTCTAGATACGTACCAGAGATGTGGAATTAAGCGTAAATGTGAGGAATTGGAAATACCGATGCAGCTCACAGACGTGCAAACAGTACCAAGCGAGGATGAGAAGCCCCTTATTGCCACGACCACAGCAACAACAACGAACACCTCCAAAAATACATCCTCCTCAAATAGTGAGGGTGACTATCAGTTAGTACAGCATGAGGTATTGTACTCTTTGACGAGTCACAATGCCTACGAAGTGCTGGAGTTTTTGGGTCGTGGCACATTTGGTCAAGTGGTCAAATGTTGGAAGAAAGGGACCAATGAAATCGTAGCAATAAAAATCTTGAAAAACCACCCTTCATATGCAAGACAGGGCCAAATAGAAGTCAGCATATTAACAAGATTAAGTCATGAAAATGCTGACGAATTCAACTTTGTACGAGCATATGAATGCTTTCAGCACAAAAACCATACTTGCTTGGTTTTCGAGATGCTTGAACAGAATTTATATGACTTTCTCAAGCAGAACAAATTTCAGCCTCTACCCTTGAAGTACATCCGTCCGATCACGCAACAAGTGTTGACTGCATTGCTGAAGTTGAAAAGCCTGCATTTGATTCATGCGGACCTGAAACCTGAAAATATTATGTTGACAGATCCCATTCGAATGCCGTATAAAGTTAAAGTCATTGATTTTGGTTCTGCTAGTCATGTGTCCAAGGCAGTTTGTTCTACATATTTACAGTCACGATACTACAGGTAAGAGAAACTCTAGATTGTGTTTTCAGTACTTTTTTAATTCATTTTCTACAAGGCTAAGAATTGCTGCTTTCCAAAACATGATTTTTTGGTACATAGTGATATATATATTTAATATTTGAAAGACAAAAAATATTAAAGTTTGCATGTAGTATTTGCAAAGAGGAATGAATATTTTGAGGTGCACACATTTCTGTTATATTCCTAATTTACTGTAGAATCACTCTTTTCCGCATGGTATTAATTTACTCTTAGCGAGTATGTACGCGTTCAAAATTTTTCTGTAACAATTTGCCCTAGTGTACCTAAACTACACTTAAGGCATATAGTGGCAATCTCAGAAATCTGTGTAATTTTCTACGTGCGGATTGAATTGAAATTGTGTTTCTGTGGTATTTTTATCCCAAGGAAAAAATATGTTTACAATTTTACAGTAGATGAAGAGTGAAAAGGAGGTAGACCTTAAAGTTGTCTTATTGGTCAATTTGTATTTTAAAAAAAAGCCAATGTGTGATTTATGTCAACAGAAAAATACTCTGATTTAATTAGAAAAAGTAACAAAACAGGAGGGATGTTTTGCCTGTATGGATTTGTGATTTTTGATTGTGATTTGAGGCCTGGAATCTTAAACATCTCCCTCCCATTACATTTAAAATTTTGTTTAAAAAGATTTTTTGGGTTATTTTTTATTTGAATTTCATGTCCTTCCACCACCAAGTTCATTGTATGGTAGATGTATACATGTAGATCGATTCTGTGATCTTTAGAATGCAAAAGTTAATATGTCATTCGAGGTATATATATTTAACATCACTGTAAAAATTTTGCACCAGAATCGCTTGAATGATATCATGTTGTTGTTTTTTTTTTTGAGCTGGAGGAGTTAGTGTGTTGATAATGATTTTAGTGATGTATCATTTTCACCCTGATATCCATCATGGATTCTGAATTTGTCATAATAAGTGCACAGGGCCTGGGCCTAGAAAATAAAAAAAAAGAATATGCTTACTATTTATTCTTAGATGTATTGGATTTTGTACATAGATAAGGCCAATTTAAACTTAATTAGTAGATTATCATCCAGGGTCACCAAAAAATATGGGGCGGGTGGGAGGATTTTATTTTTTATTTATCTGTTTTTTTGTGTCCGATTTTGACAGTAATTATCCCCGTCTGATAGCTATTCCAGTTAACACCATTTTTTGCAAAGTTAGATAACTCGTGTTTTTGACCTGGCGGCCATCAACGTTCGAATTTGTTATGTGAAGTAAACAATGATACTAAATTGAATATTCTGATCTATCTTTATGGACAGTTGAGAATTAAAGATTACGTAAGTAGCTATTTTGTTTTCCGACATAATCTTATGTTTTAGATAGAATAAAAATTATTTTGATAAGAATATTTTGATGAAAGTGTATGTTTAATAGGAAGTGTAGCAGGTACACTATTTTTCCAGATTGTCTTTACGTTTTTAGTGTTAGCACAAATTTTCTACTTTCTAAAGATTTTAAACATTATTTAAGATTTTTTCATGCCTAAATGAAGTCCCCAACATGTAGCATAAAAGTGCACGACTTTTGTAAAATTTTGTCTTCGTTGGGATCGGAGACATAGTTGGTATTTCATTATTTGAAGAAAATAAAGTGCTGACAGCTCAAAATACCTATAAATATAAGGAAATTTTAGCAATTTAAAATGCATTTCTTAATTTTTCTAACTTAAAAATCATTCAAATGTTAAATTCAGTCATCTGTATTTTGCTTAATTTCAATCGCACTCGAAATACTTCTGATAGTTATCTTCCCTGATTTGCTCTCCTGGGTCACAGACGTTGTCAGTGTTTGGGTATTTTTGGGCATCAATATTTAGTTTATTGTGTGAAATTCCTTAAAAAGAATGCTTATTCTTTTCATTCTATGGACTTAACTTCCTAGAAATCAAAGATTTGCGTTGAAATTCCTCTTTTTAATTTTTAGGTGGATTAGCTACGTCTGAATGTCAGGTTGGGGTGGCCTGTTGTCAATATTTCTGCACACGAAATCATTGTAGAAATCGATGATTGTTTTTTTATCACTAAAATTTGTAGCATACCAACCCCTTCTTTTGTACATGCCTGTCACAACACGAGAAATAATAAAAACCATTTCTATTTCTTGACGTGCGGTTCTTGATCTTTCTAAACCGGAAATACTTTTTGAAATATAAATACCAGAATCAAACACGAAAAATTTCCGGAAAACATAATTCTTGCAAAAATAAAAAGCATTGGGGCGGACCAATTTCTGAGGGGCGGGCAGGGATGATAATCTATCAATTAAGTTGAATTGGCCTAAGATGTAACATTACTACTCTCCTGTCAGGTGAACAAGTATTAAAACTTGTTTCTTGAACTATAGATCTGTGAATGAACTGCTCCTGAAAAGTATCAAATTTCAAATTTGATATTAAAAAAATGTGTTGAAATTAGGAGAATTAATGCCCATTATTCTTAGTTTGTGAATAGGAGAAGTGAACAATCTACCTTTTACAAAAATGTGCTTTTATTGGCTAATGCTTGTGTATACCAAGTTTTTTCCACTACGCCAACCACCAAATTTATGCTGTTTGAGCACTCAGAGTGTAGGCAATAGTTATGTCACATTCACTTCAACGATATATACCATTGGTTACAGAATAAACAAAGTGGACATTTCCTGAGAAATAGTTTGTCCCCAGCATCCACTTCAGTAATCTTGTACAGTGCAAGGTTATAAAGAAATAGAGTCAGTGGTGAAATTCCATCACAGTAATGAAATCACAAACTGTAGAGAACATGTCTGGAAGAATAATTCAATCTGTAGACAGTATGATAGTATAGGCCTTCAAGGAAAATGCCAATCCACCCCCTCCCACCATCTGGCATGTCAAAAGTTTAGAATTTTTGCTGTCTGTTGCGTGTTAATGTATTATGTACAACAAAGAAGGTTTTGACTTGGAAGTTTCTGTGAAAGTGCCAGATTTTCCTTTTAAGAGATTTGACAACTTACATAGAGTATATCTATAATGTGATATGTTAATTTATAATTTTTAGTTTACATAATTAATATAGGAATATCTGGGATGGTTAAAAATGGACATTAGTTTACATTTGACAGACAGGTTGCATCTATAGATATAAGAGATAGGGAAATATTATTGATGTTGAAGTCAGATTCACATTCTAGGTGTGTGAACTGTGGCCATGATCTCTGTGTTGTAACACAGGGTGAGAGATGGCCAGTGAACCATGCTGTCTTAGTCTGTTATAGAAATACCTAGACAGTGACAGATGGGGTGGCCCTCTGCACCTGTATGATAATTATCTCTACCTCTTGTCCAGAAATAGAGGGATTTCTTATTTGAAAGTTTCTATAGGCATTCTAGTCACTTGAAAGGTCTGCCAACTAAGTATTGTGTACACATAAGACCATAGAGTTAACATTTTGATGGGCTATGCATTTTCCCCCTGCAGCAGGCATGTGTGTGTAAATGACATAACACATGACTGGTGACAGTGTTAAGCTCTTGTCATTGATATTTTCACATCAGAAAGGAGTGCTGGTGGCTGGTTTCACAGTAAACAGACATGTACTAGATAGAATATGAACTTGCTTCATTTTTTCCCTCAAGTGAAGTCCATGTGTAAATGTCATGAATGACTAACAAAACCCAAAGCATATTCATTGTGTTTGTGTGTATTTTGCTACACTCAGTAGGTTTTCATTTTGTTCGCAACTAATTTTTACGTAATAGTAGATTAAAACGAGGAAATCCAGCTAGTTTATATTAACACAATGCAGCTATGATGTAATTAAGGTTCTTTATAAAGTTTACAGATAGCATGGAATCAATCCATTAATTCTAACTAACAGGAATGATAGAATGAAAGAACGGAATGCATAGTGCCTCATGCAGTGTTTTGAAAAAAAAACCCCAAAACGCAGGGTCAAAGTTAAGTACAGAACACAGCAGGAAACTCAAGTGTTGCAAGGTTTTAAGATTTCTCATTGGAGAAATTGGGTTTTGAGTGCTTTCATTAGCTCTGCGTAGAAAATCTGCCAATCTGTGAACCCTTCAGAGAAAGAGAGAAAGTGAAAAAAATAATTGCAGAAACAGTTTTAATAACCATGGCAATGAAAATTTACATATGTAGGCTTTGGTATGGTTAGAATTCTCTCCTTTTTGCCCAAGAGCCTTTGAATCAACAAAGGCTGGTGCTTTCTGAACATTTGAGCTATACAAGCTACAAAAGGGGCACTTTGTGTGAAATGATTTTCATGTGTATATGTTAACAGGTGAACACAATTTTAATACAGAATATGCCCCTAGAATTGTTGCCAGACACAGAGAGATAGCAGTTTGGTAACACAAAGATACACTTGGCTGCCAATTTCCAACAAAGTTTATTGGGAGGGTCTGAGTTTTGCGAAAATAACAGACTCACGAATCACATTCCTTTCTAATAATTCACCAAATCCACACCAAACGTCAGTCACTGATTAAGAAAGATCAAGGTGAAAAATTAGGAAGCTTTATAAATAACAATGATTAAAGTAGTGAGAAATAGCAATCTTTCCCCCCTTTGTGTTGTGAAATCATTGAAATTCTAAGGTGATTTAAGATTAAATGTAAGATGTTATAAAAAAAAAATAGCCTGAGTTATCCATCACCAAGGTTCTTAATGCCTGGTTATACTGGTAGAAGATATATAGATCTTTAAATACATTGTATGCGTAGTTAAAACTGCTCTAATCACACTAATGTAACATGGAACAGAGAGGTTCAGTTGTAGGATTGGCGTAAACAATGGCATTAAAATCCTTTTATTGATGCCAGGTCTTGTTGATTACAGTTGATGTCCATTACTATGGGGTACTAATTAATTAGGATAGTCTCATTCATGACATTGGCTAATTCTCTACAGAACAGAACTAAAAGTACTAGGCCTTGTCAGTTTTGGACTAGTCCCTTATGTAAAGGCTGGGCTTGGACCTTAGTTAGGATAGGTGTAGATGTATGAACAAAAAACAAACAAACAAACAAACTTGATAAGTGCAAACAGCAGTCAGAAAGCAATCTTAGACTTTCATAAGTATCCAAATTCAGTGCAATGAGTTAGATAATATAAATCAGCAGTTCCAAGACATTGTCAATGTACTACACCATGTTTAAATGAATACATACACAAGTTAACTTCTGAGAGAGAGAGAGAAATGTCGTTAACAATGAGTCACAAAGACAATGGTTTACGTGTGTTCATACTTTTATGAACACTGATGACCAGAGAGAATTTATGTGTTTGTTCTGTTGTGTTAGGCCACCTATTCATAGATAGGACACGCAGAGACCCAGTCAACAGAGTACGCATACATAATGCTCAATTTGTGATAAATATTTAAAGTGTGGCTGGATTTAAGGTATTCCCCACATAACTGTAAACAGAAACAACACACTGAAACAGGATTTCATTTCCCTTTGTCTGGCCACAAGGGGGAAACCATTAACATACAGGTCTCTATAATGATAGGCTGTAGTGAATGTACATATTCATGGGAAGGTGCTATCAATCTAAGATTTAATAAGAGTGTTATCGCTCTATCCCATCAATAATAAGGGCTTTTCAGCCGAAGGAAGTAACTTGCCGATTTTTCTACAGCAAAATTATAATGTTTGATTATTTGGTAAAGAAAAGTTACTTTAACAAAGCCCCATGAGGAAAATTTGTTGACTTAAGTTTTGACGTGAGAAGACGAGACTGCTTACGCATTTAAATAACAGAGTTATTTTGGCACAGGTATGAATGCCTGTTTCCTAGGGCATGCCACTTGGATTGTTTGGGGGTCAATATTCAAATTACAGATGGTGTGAGCAGGAAATAGAGATATTGTGCCGATTAAAAGTCCCACAATGGCCTCACGGGTGACTGTATACATCTTGTCTTAGTCCCTCGATTACTTTGGCAGATAGGAACTCTGATAAAGCCTGCCATCAAATGTGATGTTAAAATCAGGTGTCTACATAGGAGACCACTTAAGAATGTAAAATACCTAGTACAAAGTGACGTTATATGTATAACAGAGTGGATGGTTTAATATGCTTTTAACTGTCATGAATTGAAGTATGAAATGAAGACATTGTCTGTTATTTGTAAAGAAACAAATGCAAATATATCAAAAGACTTAAGAGTGTCCCAATTTTTTTTTTATTGCGAAAAGAACACACAGAGCGAATAGCTCTATTTGCACATATTATGCAGGACATAATTGTGTACTGTACTTGAACTCTCAGCATCATGGATGTTGTTTACAGCTTTAAATGCCTCCCTTGTATTGCAATTCCTTGGTAACAACAATTACCAAGGAATTGCATACCATGGCGACTTAAGAAGAATGAAAGTACAGTTGAACTTCATCTTGAATAGATGTCTTGAATACCATGGATATGTCTAAGTGATTTGGAAGTCCCGATCACTTATTCTTTAAGTATTATACCATCGATATTCGAATGATTGGGTATCTCAAATTTTTTTTTCTTGGCCCCTTCAAGTTTAAGATAACGAGGTTCAGTTGTAGATGTTTGTTTCCTGTAATATGCTTTTAAAAATGTTAAGGATATAAGTAGGCTTTAATTTGTATTATAGGTCATTTAAGAAAATAAAAAGAGAAAAGTAAATGACAATTAGATAGAGTTATTCCAGACATACTTGCAGATGACATGGGTATGATAGCATGAAATATCACACTCCAAAGGCATGGGCAGTTTTAGTGCTTAGCAATTAGCTACATCAAAGCATTACCAAACCATAATATATTAATTTAAAAAGAAATGATATATATGTAAACAAAGCCAGTTTCATTATTATTTATCAGATTAAAGAGAAAAATGAATTAAATCATTTCTTTTCCCAGATTTTGCAAATTTTAATGAAAAAAAAAATTAATCAGTATGTGGTCATTAAAGGGGTTAGTAAGGTTACAAGAAACAAACAAACAAACAGAAATAATTGTTAGGCCTTGTGTTCATTATTTTTATTTCTGTATTTCTACATTCTTAACATATTTGTGGATTTTTGTTCTGTGTGATAATGACATTTGTTGTTTTCTTTGCAGAGCTCCCGAGATCTTGCTAGGCCTTCCATTCTGTGAAGCTATAGATATGTGGTCCCTGGGCTGTGTGATAGCTGAATTGTTTCTGGGCTGGCCCCTCTACCCAGGCTCTTCAGAATACGACCAGGTAACTAGACTGTCAAAAACATTATGAGATATGAAGACACTATTACCCTGAACATTTCTGCAAGAATTAACAAACATATGAAAACATGAAAAAAGATTGTTTCAGCAGCTTGCCAAGAATAACTTGTCTGAACTTGATTAGAATTTGAACATGAGCCATTTACTGGCTGTTTATGAGTATTATGAGCACACTTGGAAAGGAGCTAATGAAAAATAATATCTTCAAGTTTCTGTATTCCCATTGACATTTCCTTGTGTCTGCCAGTTCCAGAATTGGCGGGGGTTTTAGCTTGGCATATAATCCTCTTAAAAGTATTGTTAGTTTTGTAAGCTGACAATGGAGGAGTATCTTGACGAGTTAATGGGCTCAGGTGATCAAACCTGACCATGTCTTGTGTAATCTGAAGCCTCTCATTACAGTATCTCCCAGAACTCAGCAGTCTCCTCCCTGTCTCTGTACATGATGCACATTCTAAACATGCAGATCGGATAATGTTTCTCTTCCTTGAGTGTTATTAATATAGTTCAGCTGTTCCAGAAATCTGCTCTTTCACACGTTTGATACAGCAGATAATGAATGCAGCCTTGTATATTGATGCACAGTCTAAATTAAGCCATCATTTTGAAATATTCATTAATGATGGTGATGTAATTTTTTTTCTATAATTCATTGTCTCTCTCAATTTTGTAAAGAAAGATTTAATGGAGGCCAAGGGATATCCTGTTTTTAGATATCCATTATTTATAAATTTATACATATTATTTTAGATATAGAATACCTCTGGCATGGAAAGGACACATTAACCTACTTAAAAATCTCTGTTGTTAAAATCTTTTTTGTTTTCAAATGGTTGCCTGCTTGAGGCATGGAAATTGATTTTGGAGCCAGTGAGTAGAAACAGTGAAGTATATTAAAAAAAGACATTCGGTGTTCCCTTCATGCCAGAAATGTGAGAGAATGGATAAAAATCATGATCCCAACTGACTCACAGATGATTGAAATAGATTTCAGCTAACCATTATGTCTCCCATCTGCATGTTCTAAGACATGCTTGTAATTAAGTATTACCATAAAATTTATTACATTCAAAGTGCTAACTTAATTAAGCATGTTAATGAAGATGATGTTGTATTTTTATGTTTGGATTGTATTTAATTTACTAGTCATCAGAAAAAACCCCTTGAAAATATTTGACTAAAATTCAAAGTTTTAATATGATCCATTTTAATTTTATTAAATTTAGAACATTCATAGAAAAAAATCTGGTAGGAGTACAGCAGTATGTGTAACTTATATATTTTATAATTCCATTAATGTCCATTCTTATTTGCATGTAGACTTGGAGACAAACATGTTACTCTAACTAACAGAGAAGTTTCCTTGTATTGTTTATGATGAATTTTGTCTGTTACAGATCCGCTACATCTCCCAGACACAAGGCTTGCCAGCAGAACACATGCTCAGCGCAGCTACCAAAACAACCCGATTTTTCATTCGAGAAAACACAGATAGCAACTATCCCTTCTGGAGGCTTAAGGTAGCTGAGCGCTTCTAATGAACACTATCACTCCCAATCAATAGACCGTCCCATTCTCTGGAATAAGACATTGATGTACCCAAAATCCATAAAAAATACCAGACAAATTAAGTTTGGGTGACAATAAAACAAATAGTCTTGGGCATGCATAATTCAAGTGATTTACGTAGTATGTGCTGTTTAGAGGGTGCTAATTTAGAGTATGTTATACCTGATGGGCATAATTTTCTCTTTTGGCTGAAAATTATTGTCTTTTTCGGTGGCAATAACTGTTTCCCTTGGTTTTGTGCAGAAATATTGCTGTCATGCATCTATCAAATTGCTAGCAGACTATGATACATTGCAGTTGTTGAATGCCAGTGGGTGGGAAATATTTAATAATGAATATATAGATACATGTAATGAATTACTGTCATGTTTTAAAACTGACTGTATCACAACATGCATTAAATTTAGATTGCATAATCCTTGTTGCTACCAGCATATGTTATGGCAAAAATCTGATAGAAAATGCATAAAATAAATAAAACCTCTGAAATAGATTGATATGGTGTTAAAATTTTCATCAATTTAAGTGAATAGTTGCTGATTTACATGTACTCTATTTAGACTCCAGAAGAACATGAAGGTGAAACGAAAATCAAATCAAAAGAAGCCAGGAAGTACATCTTTAATTGTCTGGACGACATGGCACAGGTATGTACAAAACGGCTCAACAAGGAAGAAATGGAGAACAGAGGTTTGGTGTGCAAAACGTTATTTACACATGTACAACTTCATTCGTGGATTGCTTTGTTGTCACTGGTTTGATTAATACTTTCTATGCTGTAATTTTGGATAAAAGGGGTTGTGATTAAGATCACCAAAATTACACAAGTTGGGTTAAATGAAAGTAAGCCAAGGTGTGAAATTCTACAAGAAAAAAAAACAAGTTGTCCTGAAACAGTAGGTAATAAAAAAGATAAAGTATAGTGGTAGTGGGGGGATATTTTTGATGGTGGGACTGATAATTTGGGAGGCTATGGAGGGTAGAAAGAGTACAATAAAAGAGAATACTGGAGGAAATGCTGGAAGGAAAATGATAAAGAGGATGTGAGCAGAGTGGTAAATATTTGAATGGTTTAGCAGTCGCCAAATTTTTGAAAACCTGAAATTTTACAAAATCAGGGTCTTTTTATTTACATTGCTTTAATAACTTGAAAGGATATTTATGTGCTTAACAAAGTTCAGAATTTCCTGTTATTTGGAAAAAGGCTGTGTTATCAAAGAAAAATCATCTAGGCAGTTATTGTTTGTTTTAAGTCTTATTTTGATACCCACAAAGAAAAAATTTCCCTAAATGATGACTAAGCCCATACAAGCTTATCTCTGGTGTCAGCATTCAAGGTGTTTTCCTGCACACATAAGCTAGTCTGAGGCTGATTGGTTGGACAATTGATATTTCTTAATTAGTTTTCCTCTCTGTATTCTTCCTTTGTTTCCATGCTGATGAAAAACTGATAATTGAAAAAAGAAAAACACTTTTGTAAGCCACAAGTGCTTCATAATAGAAATATTGATAATACAACACAACAAAGACATTAAGAAATGCACACACCTTCTTTCTTGTGAGGATGTTCAGTTCTTTATTAACTTTGAGCTTTCAGCTCATCATGCAGTGCTGAGTATATGAAGTATACCACATTCATTATAGAACACAAAATGCTGTGTAAAGGACTCAATAGGACATGAATATGACTAAAAGTTATTAGCGTGAACCACATATCTGAGAATTCTTTTCTAGTACTATATTAGCTATATTTCTTTTTTATGAAAATTTTTATTTTTGCTTTGATATTTTGTTACGAAATCAAAATCATGAAATTTTGAGTAGTGGAAGTAATTTTCATGTTCAATAATAGAAAACTATGGTCTCACAAAGATTTGAAACATTTTATTTTTTTGACATTAAGAAAAATAATTATCAAAAAAATCAAAAAAAGGTATTCCTAGTACATATTTAAAAAAATCTGAATTGCAAGCTGAAACTGTTTCAGATTAATGTGCCTACTGACCTGGATGGCAGTGAGTTAATGGCAGAAAAGGTAGACAGGAAAGAATTCATTGACCTCTTGAAGAGGATGTTGACTCTGGACCAGGAGAGGAGGATCACCCCTGGGGAGGCCCTGAACCACCCCTTCATCACCATGGCCCATCTCATAGAATACGCTCCATGTAACATGTACGTATCACAGTAAGGTCGATCATGTGGAATTTGAAACATATAAAGGAAATGAGTCTCGTGTTATTGCCTGTCTCAGAGAGTAATTAACAAACATTTACGTACCTTTACATGATGTACAACTTAAAAGTTGATGAACATGCTATATTGCATGAATCTGAAATTAAAGCTATGGATAGACAACATTGGAGTTCTATAAGCATCACTAGATTTAAATGATCTGAAGATTTTAAACAAATTATGGGATTAATTACAAGTTGTATTTTATATTCTTCTCTTTTTCTTTAGGTTTAAACAGAGTCTGTCAGCAATGGACATTTGTCGACGTTCGGTGAAGAGCATATTTGATGTGAATCAAAACACAAGTTCCATCATGTCAAATCTGGTGCCACCCTCCACTAGTAATCTGACTGTCAGTTTCAACAATCAGATCAACGCCCTTCACACACAGGTACAGTCTGAAAACTGGTCTTGAGAATTAACACAGCAGCCACATACAAAGCTTGATGTTTTTTCATATTCTTGTAAAATATCAGAGATCATACATCTATTTTTATGCTTATATAGCTGCAAAGAAGCTTTGTGTGAACATGAAACCTGAAAACAGCAGTTCTGAAAATTTACCCAGAAATCTTTTTTTGTTTATTGGATTTATTTAAATGAGAACCCTCTATTCTGACAGATGGCGACCCAGAACTTGAGTGGAACTTCTCATCATCCGGGTACAGAACTTCAGTATTTGCCGTATCCCTTACAGTCACGGCATTACATTCCTTATCAGCCATCACAAGTTAACACACAGCTGTCAGCACCCAGGTCCTCAACACAGTTTAGCCGCACCGATCCTTTTATTCACGTCTCCTCTATAGTGGTGCCCGGTATCCAAGGTACACCTCACCCTTTGTTGCACTTTATGGCAGTTTTGCAGAAGTGGTTCAAATTTGAAGCATACATTTTATTTAGCAGCTTGATGTAAAAAAAAATCTGTTTATTAACAAGGCTTTGTAAATAGTGCTTACAGTGCTTACTTGAAGGAAGAAAGATGAACTTTATAATCCTTATAAGGAAAAGGAAATGACAGAATTGTTTATATATAATACTGGTATCAAGGCCTTGAATATTCTGGTGCACAGTTTTCTGAACACTTCTAACATGATCTGGTTCAATTTTATTTTCATCTGACAGCACAGGAAATAAGCAATATTTTATTTATTCTTTAAGGGAAGAGAAAAAAAAAACATTTAAAAAAATAAAAATGATGTATTAGAGTGCATACAAAATACTGTTGACTGTATTCAACTGCTTATCAGATATAATTTATTGGTTTAATGAAAAATTGATAGTACGAATTTTAAATATTTTTTCTCTGTAGGCCTGAGCTCTCCAACAAGGTACAACCATGTTCCCATGGTAACCCAAGCAGCTCCCACATTACAACTTCAGCCCCAGCTGATTGCTCAGGTAAGATTGCTCTAAAATTACATCAGCTTCCTCATACCATATATTCCTTGCATGAGGTGGTCAGGAAGAAATTCTTTTATAAACATCCTTACAGGGATAGCATGTAATTCTCACAGAAAGGGGAGGAAGTGTTTATAAAATGAAAAAGGAAGTTAAAAATTTTTAATAACAGTGTGACTTAAGGGAGGTAATCCTTCCAAGGGAATCCCACCATTTTATTTGCTGCTTGCATGATTGTAGATCCTAGTCATGATATGTAATGTTATCAACCAGTAGATATGTTTTGACTTAGATAATTTGTGTATGCAGAGACATGTAGAAGCATGGTTAATTTATGAGTTTTGTTGCTGGCATAGTTTGGTAGTGATTATTAAGTGTCATTCAATCAATATCAAAGGTTTAACACAGGATTTAACTATTTTAATGTTAAAAGAATGTATAATTAGAATTAAATTAAATTACTGATTCATAGGAAATAAAAATACCTAAATAATAGATACTTTTTCCTCATTTGGATATTGTTTCCATGTAAAATCAGATACAAATATTAAATTTTTTGTTCTTGTGATATAAAAATACTTTCTGATAAATAAAGTGTAATGAAGTGAAAGAGGATCAATAGCTAAAGAAATAGGTGGAAGAGTGGTCAGGTGACGTTGTAGGTAACATGTTAGGCTTTCCTTTGTAGAGTACTGTGGGCCAGATAAGTCCAGTGACCATGATAGAACACCCATTATTCATGGCAGCCGTATGTAGCCCCTTGTATCATCTCATTATCCTGTGTGCCATGTTTCTTTATTTTTTGCTTACAGTTCCATCTATGCTGAAAACTTCTCTCGATACAATCAAAATCTGTAAAGGATTAGAATTGCACTCTCAGTATAACTTTGTACCTATGTTTTAGTGTGGCTTCATTCTTAAAGGAAATTTTTTTTTGAGAGCATAGAAAAAGAAACAACAGTTTGTAGCTGTGCTTAGATGTTACCGTACACAGAGCTTGGAATTCTTCTCTGCATCCAAATACTTTATAAAAAGGATGCAGTCAACAACTTTCTACAATACTGTACTGTTATAATGTGCTTTTAATTGCTACTAAATGTTATGTAATTGTATGCACAAGAAAATTTTGTTTCGCTGATTTCACTGTCTTTCAAGAAAGAGGAAAGTAATCTGCTAGATGTAGACTTGCCATTTAACTACTTTCAAGATAACTTTAACATTATATTTTTGGTCATACAATGCACCAAATAATAACTTTAAAAGTAAATAAATTTCTCTCTCTTAAAAACTAAAATTTGATAATTCAGACCTCAAAATAAATTGATTTCTTCTTCTTTTAAATTTTTTTAAAAAAGTTTTTTTTTATTTGAATATCTAAATATACAATATACAGAATTATATATCATAGAGTAGTGCTTTGCTTCCTTAACAAGTCAGGTATGAGTGTAGGCTTTATTTGCTCAAGTTCTATTTTCTGTAACACATGTATAATGTGGTTAGTGTGTATTTTTGTGAATCTTTTCACAAGATATAGACTTGTTAGTTTAGAATGAAACTCAGAAGAAACATAGTTTCATGCATTCATCTTTTCATGCACATTAGAATGTTTGCATTTTCATGGGTTTATTGATAGAAAAAAAAAATTATAAAACATTTTTTTTTAAAAAAATTCAGATTTTAAGGAATTCAAGTTTTATGCTTCATTTTACAGAATGCTGGAAACACATGGCCAGGTACGCAGCAAGTCCTGGTGGGGTCCTGGCAACAGATTCCAGGAATCGCCACCCAGAGGGCTGTCCAGCAACCACTACTGACAGACACACTAGCAGCATCCCAGGCCCTACAAGACACCTGGAGGCAGTCCTTGGTGCTGGACAATCTAGAACAGTCTTCTTTAGCCTCGCTGGTAAAATAGCTAAATTTCTCTACTTTAAAATTGTGTCAAGTAAAACTTGTGCATAGCTGAATATAAGAAAAATATTAAATTTGCATGTAAGAGGCACAATGTTAATAAATTTTGTGTTTGTTGTAGGGATCCTCATCTCAGAAGTGGAATATTGGAGTTATGCCAAACAACTCATATGTACCAAAAGGAACTGGTTCAAGTAAAAGGCAGACCAAACAGAGGTTTGTGCAATTGTTTCTGTGAACCATTTTAAACTTTCAGTAGAACTGAAGACATTTAATGATTTTTTTAGTCTCTGTTCTTCATAAAAAAAAATTAAAAAGAGTGGACGTGTATTCAGTTGCATTTAAATAGAATGAAAGAATTGTGTCAGTAAATATGTTCTAAGTGTTTTTTTTCTTTTAAAGTAGAAGCTACAAGAATGGGGCTGCTTCCACACATTTATCTCCAGTAAAGAAAAGGGTCAAGGAAAATACACCCCCCGAAACACTGGTCCCTGATGATAATGCCCTCCTACAGGAATGGGCAGATAACCTCAAAACAAGACGGTCAGGCAAAGAGCAGAAACAGACAATAGTGATAGCAGACACCCCAAGCCCCACCCCCAGTATCATCACCATCAGCTCAGACAGTGAAGAAGAGGGGGAGCACAGGTTCCACAGAGGGAGAAGGTAAGACGTCTGGGAGGCTTGTTGATGTTGAGCCTTTGGTTTATTGATCTAATAGGGGTGTATGGATTACCATGCCTCAAGGTACAATTTTGTAAGGAAGAAAACTAAAGAAAATGTACCCATATTACTGATTCGGACTTCCTCTTTTCAATGTAATTTTGACCTGCAATTTTTAAGCATGATGTGTATTTTTACATATCTTTGAAAATAAGGAATTTCTAAATGAGGTTTTTGAATGCTAAACTTGTTTTCTCATAATTGTATTTTTAATGACTAAGACAAATTCATATTGTATTTCATATCATAGAGCAGTGTATCAAGTTACAACACTTTTTGTTGGTATATATATTTACACTGCTGTGCATCATGATATTTTATGACAATTATATTTTTTCCATTAGAGCTGGAAGTCATCGAGTTCAGAACCACAACCAAACAGGTGTAGATGCACGTTCATTTGTGGACAGCAGTATTGGGAATGAATTTTTCGGTAAGATCTTTACTGATTTTGATGGCATTGAATACATTATATAGTGCCTGATTTAAGTACATGTAATATTCTAGGCCTTAAAGTCTTGGATGTGGATATGATTGCTTTGTTCCACATTTTGTGTAGAAATCTTCAGGTGTCAGCTGATCTTCCTCTTTATTATTTTTCAGAATCCTCCAGAAGTCACAAGAGTTTAATATCAAGTGTTCCTGTGCCGGAACTGACTTCTCAAGATTCTGAAGCAAAGTACCAAAATGCACTATTTAAGAAACAGTTAGCAATGACGCCAATCAAACACGAGGAAATAGAGAGGACAAATGAAGAGACAGACAAAAATTACCACTTAGATACAGGTTACAATGTGGTTCCACCCAATGTTTCACTGGAAGTGCCCAAGAAGGCAAGAGAGCAAGCCAAAGTGTCACCATATGTGATGAGTGTTCCAAAACAGGAAACATCTTCATATATGCCATGCACTACCACTGCCAGCTTTGACCGATCAAGGGCCGGAAGGAGCCCAAAGACGGAGGTGAAACTTCCACCACTTGAAGTGGAAATCAGCAATGCTGCATTACAAGGAAAGCTAGCCTATGTGTCTCCAACTGTCCGTAATGTCCATAGTCAAACCCACAAGCAGGCTGCACCTGGCATGACTTTTGTCAACTCCAGCTCAGCTTTCCAGCAGCATAAGGCAAGGCCAGGGAACATGAACTTTACAAGACCAGCTGGACCCAGTCAGTTATCACCAGTTCAGACTGGTGTAGCCATTGGTCAACCAGTTTTCCTAAATACGGGTCCACAAGTTGAAGTTCACAGGTAAGATGAAAGATCTTTATATTGGGCAATAAGATAAACTCAGAATAATGGTATTATGAGAATGTGAATTTTAAGCCTCAGTCTATGTGTTAAAATTGAGATATTGTCTTTGACAGGGACTTTAGGCGGCCGCCAGCTTTGCAGGGTAGTCCAATCCATCATTATTTACTGCCAGCTCACCAACAGCCCCAGATGGCAGCCATTCCCACAGCTATGAGCCAGTACACACCATTCTCTCCCACAGTGGCCCCGCCTCCAGCTCATCAGAGTCCTAGACACGTCCAGTACACAACACATCCCCTGCCAGCTCACGTTCACCCTGTTCTGCAGTCTTCGACCCTCCCAACGGGGCCCTACCCCACTCAGATCGCCTCCCAGTATGGCAGCCTCAATCCAGCAGGGGGCATTTATGCCACATACCCTCTAAGCCCAACCAAAGGCAGATCATATCAATATTTTGCATAACGTTCTCATAAGTCATTGTTTTTGACATTCATGGTGCTATTTAGTGGTGGCTTGCATCCTAGAAATCACACACCTGTGTATTTTGGTTGTGATTAATGAACATGGACTGGAAACTGGTTGATTTTAATGGTGTGGTTTTCCTCACAACTTCTTTTTATCATTATCAGTGTTAGTTGTAGCTTATTATTTTCCCTCTTGGTAGACAACTGTCTGTGTTCTGCAACCAGATGCTTCTGTTTTTCCCCCCTGTCTTATCTGTAGATTCATTGTAGAATTTATTTTATCGGGCTTCATATTTAAAAGGATTACAGCCAGCCATATATATTGTGTATTTATCAGCATATTGTATATTTTACTGATATTTGTATATGTATTTTATTACCTACACAACAATCATTTTTAATTGCTAAGTAATTAATATATTGTTGCTATAGTTTGTTACATATATGTGTTGTCACATTTTAGTACGTAATCTTAGTAATATTACAAGTAAAATTTTAACATCATATTTATTCTTGTAGCCAATATATGTATAGGATTTCTAGATATAGTGGAAAACAGAGATCTTTGTTGATTTTGGGCATTTAATACATCACTTCATATTGGTAATAGAATTTTGGAAACATCTTCAGTCATAACATTAAGCCTAAGGAGATGCATAAAAAGGGTACTTGAATACTTGCCATGAATGATATAGGGAAGAAATTTCATAGAAATAAGATGTTTCTTTACAATAAAATTTGAACATTCCACTTTGCATTGTCAAGCACCAAATCAGTCGGCAGTAGGGAAGAAATACTAAAGATTTATGTTTGCCTGTGTAACTTGTTTGATGTTGTTCATCAGTGTTCAATGGTCTGTGATCTTTCAATATTCTGAATTTATGCACCTCATCTGGTAATTTTCATGTGATTTAAAAAAAAATGAGGGCAGTTGGATGAAAAGTCCAACGTATGAACTTTAGTTGTCAGTTATGTAATCTCTCGTATAAATATATCTTTTTCTTTTAAAAGATAATTTGATTTATGAACTTGAACAGTGTGAGATTGCTTTAGAGAGAAATGTGATACTTAATGACGAGCCAAAATGAACGGCAGAATCTAGAGAAAAGATGTATTCTATTGTCAATCAAAGAGCTAGTAAACTATTTTTGTAATGAGATGTTAATGTTATATGTGGTGCACATATTTTTAAATCATGTTTGAACAAGCATGTTTGTGGTTTTTTTTTTCTTTTTCAAAAGGAATGAAGTGGTGCCATTGTATAAGTAATTGTATAGCAAAGATTTGTATTAATTCTTCTATTTTCCATGTCCTCGAAAGATTAATGTCCATAATAAATAAATTTCTGAGGGAGTGTATAGAACTGCCCTTAATTGTATAGAATTTTTTGTATATTTGTTACAATATTGTACATATGTTAGACTGGTGTATTAGAGGCCTTTCTATGCTGTGTGTGGTGGTGATATGCACTAATGTTTGTGATACTCATTTGTAGAAAATAATGCCAAAGTCATTCTAAGGACATAACAGCTATCCCTTTTCCTTTTTTGGTTATCAATTGTTTCTCTATTTAAAAAAAAATGAGTACATTTTAATACTTTTTTTTAACCATAACTTTATGTGGTAGCTAACTAGATTGAAAAAAAAAGAGTTCAGTATAAAAACTTTTTATGTTTAATGCTATTTTAATGGTACAAAAAATGATAAACTTGATGTGTGTATTTTGTCCTTGGTTTGATGTTATTCTAAAACCTGTCATACATAAAAATATATATATGGCAAAGACAGTTCACTTGTACATGTATCTGTAGATGTGATTTAGCGTGTATTTTTAACACTTGCCAGTATTTTATTTTTCATAGTAGTCTTTCATGCACCAAATGGTTTTCATTAATAATCACTGATATCTCGTAATAATTCCCAATGTTTGTAAGCTTGTGATATTACAGAGGAGAGAGAGAAAAAAAAAGAAAATGGCAAATTATTCTGAAGTCACCCTGCCATTATTATCCATTATCACTGTTTTTTCTCTGTAGCAGGCTTTTAATTAAGCAGCTTGTTCATGGGTACTTCAAGCATTTTGTCGTCATAGAATTACTAGAGTTGTCTTACCTTGCTGTGTTCATTCAGAATTGTTTCCCTTTTTTTCGTTATATCTAATGGTAGCTGTAGGAGAGTACTTTTATTGTAGTATATTTAAATTAGCAGTAGAGTTCTAGGTGTATATGGATGCTTTGTCAATTATTTATTTTAGTTTTCTGTCAAGTTTTTAATCCACTCTCTAGGTTAACAGTGCTAGTTTGGTTCTTGGTTTCTGTGTTATTTTTGGCACTTAGTTTATTTTTATCATATTGATAGCCAATGTTAACCTTGTGTGTTTTGTATTGTGATTTGGTATATCATTCCGTGTTTTGAAGCACTGTTCAAAATTTTTTAGCAGGACTTTGTCAACCATTTTATTCACCTTGATTGTAAACTATTTATTCCTTTACATTTTAGCCTAGGTCCATTGATTTTAAGGAATTTTTCTGCCTCGGCATGATCAAATAAGATGAAAAATTTTGTCAGTGATGTTCGTCAAACGAGTGCTTTTGTGATGTAAAGCTTACTTCATACTCAGGGTTGCCAGTCATGTCTAATCCATAAATCATTGCATTTAATCATAGTCATTTTTTTTTTTCAACTCATAATATTGACTTCTTCATGCAGGCATATATTCATGTATAGATAGATTCATATAGCCAGAGACAATTTTGCAATACTGTAATGTAAATCCTCATATGGTCATTACGTAATCATTGATTAAACTGAATGTGTATTTATATCCAATATCATTCTAGCATTTAGTCTCTCTCATCTGTCTCAGTTGTTATAATCAGAGGCCTTGCTATGGAACTTTCACTTTCTGTTTGGTGGTTGAAAATAATTTTTTTGACATTGTTAGAAAGACTTTAAAAATGGGATTGGTCATTTATATACGTTAAAAGTAGGAGTTAGCATCAAAATTTAGTCATATAATCCAGAAAGTTTGATCTCTTAGTCAGATTTTAACATTATTTTCTTTATCTTTATGTAGTGTTTTATATAGCCTATGTTAGTGTTTTTAACCAAAATTTATATTATCTAGGTTTATATAGGGAATTCATTATGTAGTGTTAGTTTATTTCAATTATTGTGTGCCTGGCATTCCAGAATATATTTATACTGAAGCAAAACTTTGGATTAAATTTCAGTATTTTTTTAATCGGTGGAGATTTTTTTTCATGGCTTTCAAAGATTGGTATTTTAACGTTATTGTAGATTGAGGATTGAATTTGGAATATGCTTTTGGTTTGCTTAAGATTTGGTTTATTCACAAGTTTTAGTATAGACATTTGGTTGTATAGTGTGTTAAAAGCTTTCCCCCTACTTTCAGTATGCTTGTTATTTTTTCCACTCCCATTATAACACAAAATGTATTGTGTCTAGTCAGTATTTAGTGTGTGGTTTCAGTGTTAATCAATTTTATATTTCTTCATTTAGACATTAACCCATTATTCATACAGTATTTATGCACCCAATTGTTTCTATTTATTCTTTAATCCTCTTTTTAAAATTGGAAAGATGTTCAAATCTAAAAAAAAATATAATTGTAGAAGATTTTACAAGTGTGTCATGCATATCTTAGAAGAAATATTATGAAGAAGTTTTAAATTTTGTTTGAGTCAATTTAAAAATAAACTGTTTCTGGTTCCAAAGTCTCTAGTTTTTGGTAGATTTTTGGCTCGGGTATAGAAGTATGTGTTATTTAATTACACTTTCATGAAAAGTTTAAGAATCAGCATTATTACTACTTAATTTTCATGTCAACTTTGTCAGTTTGAAGGAAAGTGCTAATGCAGTGATTTTGTTTTCAACATATTTTGAGAAATCATGTTTGACCTCATATTTTGCTTTGTTGAGTATTATTTTCATTAATTTGTCACCAATGAGTGTAGCCATTTTTCATTGTATTTTCTTCTAATATCTGTGTGCAATATTAAACGTTGGACAAGCCTGTGCCTATCTCGCAGACTAGGGTAGGATATTTGATATAATTTCTCAAATTATGTTTCTTTAATTTTGTTTTTTATTTTTACTTTTTCTTGATGGGGGATGTTGGGGGGAGGTATTAAATCAAAACAATGAAGATATTTAGACAAAAAAGATAAAATTTGATTTAAGGTGGATATATTTTGGGTTAGATTGTTTATTTTGTAGGGAGGGGTTTGTGAGATAGGTCACTGAGAGTACTTATCACAGCTCTTTGTTGTGTTGATCTGAGATATATCAAATGTAGAAATTAACTCACTTGGGATCAATAGGAATAAATCTTCACAGAAATTTTACATGGTGTTTGTTTTATATATAGAAACATCCTATGAAGGATGCAGTGATTTTGCTGAATAATGGCTATCGCTAGTCCAGAGTTGATTGAAAGATGCAGAAAGGAGCTGGTAATCAAAAGTACCGGATTATTTAAAGTTTCATTAAGGTTTTGATTTAGGATTAATGATAATTCCGCCAACAGCATGAAGTGAATCGGTGATCGCTGCAGATGATCGCTGCAGATTACATGAACAAAGCGAGATAACTCAAAAATGTAGATCAATGGATTCCAAATGAATGTTAAATTCTGGGGCATTCCTAGATTCCTACACATGTATAGACCAAGTGTGAATCCAACGTAGGTTGATGCACAAGCTTTTTCCATTTTTTATGCCCCGCCATGAATATGGCCGGGGCATATAGTGTTTGTCATGTCCGTCTTCCGTCCTTCCGTCCGTCCTTCCGTCACACTTTGCGTTTAGCTCTGTTCAAAGCTCAGTTTCAAAGAAACTATGCAAGATATTTTTATCAAACTTCATATGCTGATAGATATTGATGAGGGCTATGCAACTGCATCAACATTTTTTGACCTTGACCTTTCCTTTGACCTTGACCTCACTTTTCTTAAATTAGTGATTAGCTCAGTTTTAAAGATACCATTCAAGATAGTGTAATCAAACTTCATATGTTGATACATACTGATGTAAGCTATTCAATTGCATCAACATTTTTTTGACCTTGACCTTTATTTTGACCTTGACCTCACTTTTCTTAAATTAATGTTTAGCTCTGTTTTAATGAAACCATTGAAGATATTTTTAACAAACTTCATATGCTGATACATACTGATGAGAGCTATTCAACTGCATCAATATTTTTTACCTTGACCTTTCCTTTGACCTTGACCTCACTTTTCTTAAATAAGTTTTTAGCTCAGTTTTAAAGATACCATTCAAGATAGTGTTATCAAACTTCATATGCTGATACATACTGATGAGAGCTATTCAACTGCATCAACATTTTTTGACCTTGACCTTTCCTTTGACCTTGACCTCACTTTTCTTAAATTAGTGTCAAACTTCATATGCTGATACATACTGATGAGAGCTATTCAACTGCATCAATATTTTTTTGACCTTGACCTTTCCTTTGACCTTGACCTCACTTTTCTTAAATTAGTGTTTAGCTCAGTTTTAAAGAAACCATTCATAATATTTTCATCAAACTTCATATGCTAATACATACTGATGTAACCTTTTCAACTGCATCAACATTTTTTGACCTTGACCTTTCCTTTGACCTTGACCTCACTTTTCTTAAATTAGTGTCAAACTTCATATGCTGATACATACTGATGAGAGCTATTCAACTGCATCAATATTTTTTGACCTTTCCTTTGACCTCACTTTTCTTAAATTAGTGTTTAGCTCAATTTTAAAGAAACCATTCATAATATTTTCATCAAACTTCATATGTTAATACATACTGATGTAACCTTTTCAACTACATCAACATTTTTTGATCTTGATCTTTCCTTTGATCTTGACCTCACTTTTCTTAAATTAGTTTCTGAATCAAACGTCATATGCTGATACATACTGATGTAAGCTATTCAATTGCAGCAATATTTTTTGACCTTGACCTTTCCTTTGACCTTGACCTCACTTTTCTCAATTTGTGTTAAAATGTTGCATTACTAATATACCCTTGGCGGGGCATTCATGTCCTATGGACTTATTTCTAGTTATAGAATAGAATAGATTTTATTTGCCAATAATGGTCCCTTTGGGGGCATTACATAAATACAAGCAAGCATGATTTGTAAATACCCAAGAGGACAAGTAAGCACAACATACAGCAAAACAAAACAAAACAAAACAAATTAAAAAAAACTATATATTGAGTCTAGGCAAAACAGGGGTGATGAGTAATTTGAATTATCTCCGTTACATGTACCAGGAGGCTATGCATGACGATATCTTCTTGATTCTAAACATACACCGACCTTGCGTTTTCTGCTACAGAATGTTTAACACGGGCTGTGCCTTTTATTCTGTATATTGAGTGTTTTAAATATCTATTGTGTAGATATTATTATGTATATAAGATGAGAATGACGAAGCGTCTGTAGTAAAAGTAAGTACAAATTGGAATACATACATGTATTATTACATTTACAAGTATTATATTCTCAATGAAAAAAATAGCACACTTACAGCTATATTTCAGCTCAATTATAAAGCCCCCCCCCCCCCCCCCCCCCCCCCCCAAGAAGAATGATTCGGACACTCTCCACAACAAATGTCTGTTTCAACAACTCGTCGATGACCACTACATCATATAATTACATATATTTGAAGCATTTTCAATAACAAACCTGTAGTTCTTATCGTGTTTGGATTTAGAATTTTTTAAAGACCATGTTGAAAATTTAAGTATGTAAACTAAAATTTTGATACAGAGGGGGTATTCGTACGGTTCCACTTGATACAAGTACTCTGAAGTTGATATTAAAAATTAAAGATGCTTGAGTTTCTGATTGACATGCAATATCTATGCTGTTTTTGGAGATCATGTCTACCAACAATCTGCTGGAATTTCCATGAGTACCAACTGCACCCCGTTGTTAGCAAACCTATTTTTGTATTCATATGAAGTAGAATTTATTCAAAATCTTATACAGTTATTTCCATTCATATGTCGACACGATATATCCCAGTGAACTTGGGAAAAAATAGCATAGAGTCTGACACATCTGTTTCATTTGGATATTTTACCAGAAAAAGGCGTTACTGGTAATCTTACAACAAAGCTTTATGATAAACGTGATGACTTTAACTTTTAAAACATCAACTTCCCTTACTTATGCAGCAATATACTTAGTACCCTTATCGCTTGCATATGGAGTGTATATCTCTCAGTTGATTCGATATGCAAGAGCATGCTCTACGTATAAACAATTTCTAAAATGAGATAAATTTTTGACAAACAATGCAAATTGATGAAAAAAGAATATCAGCAGTCTCGTTTAAAGTCATCATTTCGTTAGTTCTGTGGTCTATGGTGGCATAGTTATGCCATCCACATAATTTTTTGTCAACATAGCATATCATGTCAAGTCAAGATAACTATCTCGCCAAGTTATGATAACTTTCTGGTTTGTCGACAAATACCAACTTTATATCTTGTCCAGTCAAGATAAGCTATCACATTTGTTGCGATAGCTATCTTGACATGACGAGACAACTTATCTTGCATCATGAATAAAATAGCTATCGCAAAAATACGATAGCTTATCTTGACTGGACAAGATAAAAAGTAGGTATTTGTCGACAAACCAGAAAGTTATCATGACTTGGCGAGATAGTTATCTTGACTTGACATGATATGCTATGTTGACAAAAAATTATGTGGATGGCATAAATATGCCACCATAGTGGTCGATACAATGACCTTGTCAGCAAATACAATCGACCATTAAGTCAAATGCTGACTGACTTTTTTCATACTAATTGTTAGGCCATTATTTACACACTGATTTGTCGACGGGTTTTCCCGTTCTTTACCGACCATGACAAGGAGCACACGGCGGGGGATACCCACTCCTCCATGGCACCTGATCCCACCTCTGTTTTTAGAGGTCCGTGTTTGCTCTGCTCCCGATTTGTATATTGTTTTAATGGGCTTTGAGCTAGAGTACTGTTCGTTACAACATGTATCTCCATATAGATTATTTTAACAAATAAAATATATTTATTTATTATCTTATATAGTCATGTTGTATTTATTTGTTAAAATATAGTATATCAGGAAGGACAGTACCAATCTTTTGCGAGTGTAAAAAATAGGCATCATTTCACTCCCTTTTATCATTTAAAAAAATATAATAATAAAAAATAAACTGCATAAAAATGTAGTCATAACATCAAATTGACGTCAGTTTTTGTGTTAATTTAGCGTGTTGTCTATCTGGTGTGTTAATCATAATCAAATTCGCAGTCACTGTATTCAGGTGTTGTCAGTATTGCATGCATATACATGTAGTTATAAAAAAATCGTAAATTTAACAAAAAGTGGAATTTGTGAGAACTGAATATATGTATGGTGTTAAAAGGTTTTCTCTAAGAAAGACAACTCGTTGGCAATCCATTTGACATTTATTGTCCATGCATATCCACAACACTTTAAAATTCAATAAACTGTCGCATCTCGTGCACAAAGAACATTATCCAATAAAATCAATTTTAAACTACAATATTCGGCTTTTTCAAGATTCCCATTTGAAAACAATTGAAACATCGAATTTTTTATATATACTATTTATATATCATAATTTTAAAACCTGCTTAGAGCCTGGCTCTATTTTTACTTGTATTTATATGCTGTCGGAACCGCCTCAGAGCACGAGGTCTGTTACCCTGGGACCTTATGATAATGGCCTGTCTTACACTTGAAAATAAGTACTTGCCCACGGTGGCCTTTGACCTCTTTTTTTTTTCTTTTTCTTTTTTTTTTTTTAATGAAAACACTTGTGAATAACATTAAACTATTGCTGTCATATTCATCATTTACTTTTTTTTTTTTTAAATTATTCTGAGAGTATATACACAAGTGTTTTATCTAAATAAAAACCCAAACAAATATAATTTTGGGATTTCGATCTTATAATTCGTATTTTTCTGAAGGACAGCTGATACAAATTAAAAAAAAAGATGCCCGGAGTGATATATATTTGTGGACGTATTTTGGTTGCAGGTTAACGTTGTAAATGATGCAAATACCAAATTTCTGAAATATTAAGAAATTATAAACTTTCTATGATGTTCAAAATTCTACCTTTCTGCAATCATCCTTATAAATCTTATACAATTTAATTTTACCACTTTATGGGACATTATTGAAATTTTGAATGAAAAATAAAAAAATCTAAGTTAAACTTATTCATTTTACTTGTATAAACATAACTAAAGTTTTTTTTTCGATCATGGTTTTTTGAAGAACGTTTGTATTATGTTCTTAA